ACACAAAGTATTTTTGCAATGAGGTATTTTAAAGTTGTTTTGTAATGAAACATCTGGAAGCATCTTGCCTTCCCGTGTTTTTGAAGCAGTTTCAGCCCAAAGACAGCTAAAATTTCTCCTATGACTAGTAAAAATGAACTCGATTATCACTGGCTTTCTGATGAAAACATGACAGCCGATTCACGATCCTATATGCATGTGGTGCAACCAATTCAAATACTCAAATTACAGCTTTTGTAGAGAGATTAATTACATAACATATGTTTGCGGTTGCAAAGATCGCTATTATGATTGAGTTTAATATTTTGTCCTTAACCTTGGAGTGCAGTTTTTTCTGTAACATTGTTGTTTGAGGTAAATTTTGCTGTCTTTGCGATGTGATGTGACCAGAGCTGGTTGGCATTACACTATGCCCATTCCACCTCCTCAGTACATTCTCCAATTATTTCCTGACACTCTGATGTAAATGAGGTCACAGTCCCCCTACATGTCCAGATATGCTGGCCAATTTGCTCCGACACAGAACTTGTAATTGCTTGCATCAATTATCTGTCTCTTTCTCTCTCTGCCTCTCAATAGTTTGAAATGTTCCCTATTAGTGACAAGCATTTAGATATGGAAGCAAGAATGTTGTACCTATAATTAGCTCGTTATCATGGGATCATACTCTGCAGAGGCCCCTGTGTGTGTGTGTGTGTGTGTGTGGCGACAGTGTGAAATCAGCAGCAGATGCAGTGCAGGGATTATGTGATGGCGTTTTTGACAGTTTAATGGCTTTTCAGCAGTGAGTTAGTAAGTCACCTGTCAGCACAGACTGAGAGACTAAAGACAATAGAAATACAGATATAGTATTTCAATCATTATCCAGATGTACGTAAGAGGGACAGAATGAAAACTGGCAGTGAAGTGGTTACCCAACGAAAATACTGTATCGTATAGAGAAAGGCATAGTTATGCCAGTTTTGTAATTTAACACTAAACAATGAATAGGCCAGCTTGAGAGGTCTTGAGAGATCAAACTACAAAAGTTGTGTATTTTCACCACTAATATCTCAAGATCATCCACGTGTGTAGTTACATATGAAATAAAGCACAAGGTTTGACAGAATGACTCACTTTTTGATTCAGGTTATCTGTAGTTTCTGTCAGTTCACACTGAGCACCTGGAATGGATTGTAGAACACAGTTTTACTTCCTAAATTTTTCATAAAACCTGTGTGCCACTGAAGAGATCATGTCCATAATGTAAGCTTTCCACCTTATTTTTGTCATTCATTTTGCCAAGTTCTGTCACTGACTGCAGAGCCAGGTTGTCAAGAGGATCCAGACACAAGATCACTTCAGTCACCTATATCTTTGACTCTGAATCAACCTGATGAATGAGGCTTTTCCCAGGAAGTGGCCAGACATGCTTATTACCACCTCTGGCACTTCAAATCAAGCCCTCGCCCTCTCTTTTATTTCTCTTTCTCATTTTCTCTTTCATCTCCTGCAGTTGGGTTGTCAGGAACACTTTGTGACATGGTAGTCGGGCAAGATTATGTTGCGCTTCCATCACCCTGACAGTACCCCAGCAACCTAATGTCCGTCAGGGGCCTGTCAGAGGTCCCACTAGATGGCTCGTTTCTGGAAGTGCTGGGGGCATGCCTGCCCTCCTGCCTTAGTTCACAACTGTTCAACTCAGATTTGGCTATATCTTCTCTGCAGATATACAATATGATTAGAATGGGGGAAGGACAGTGTGATGGTGTGCAGTGATCTCGGAGCAGCCCTAATTTATCTTTGATAAATATTTACCACACCCAGCGACCTTCAACACAAAACTAAATGAGGAATCAAAGGTGAATTTTGATCTTTACTGTAGTTATGCTGCTGTGTACCCAGAAAAATAAGACTTTTTAATTGTTGAAACTGATACAGAGCGAGGATGGTGTGGTAGATCCTGGCTAATGCTGAGTGAATGCAGTCCCTTGGTGCTGTGGATGATAAATCTATTCTCATGGAAGATTAATGGAGTGGAGAAGTGGTGTTGAATGTCATTGTTGAAGGTTGAGAGTATTGAGCGCCTGAATCTTATCCATATGTTTTCAGGAATGACATAAATAGGCTCAGCCGGAATTCATTTTGACTTATTAAGCTTAGACCAGCACCAGAGCTATATGATACTTGCCAAGTATTTAGACTCTAAGGCTTCCAGTATGAAATCCTACTCCACATCATTTCTGTTGATGCTGGCCATGGCCATGAGCTGCCACCTTGTTTTTGTTTTTGCAGCTCTTGGCTACATATTACTTCCGCATTCTCTGTAACTTGACCCTGTAGCCCCACTTTTTGATGTCATACCAGGCCTTGGCAAGGGAGTCTCTCCTCTCTTTGTTCCAGCCTTTTCAGTGTGGAGGCTGTTCCGATAGAGTAAGTTGAATAAGTGGAGCCCGGAGGAATCTCTACAAAGGTCTCACTCTGATTGGATGCATGCAGAGCCCAAGGAGAGAACGGCGGTTGCCATAGCAATGAGAGCAATGTGGGAACTGGCTGCATGAAGGATAAAGGGAAAGTGGTGCTTTCTTTTGTGATGGGAGGTCTTCATCGAGTGACATTCCTCTTTATGGGTACACACTGGCTAACACGCACATAAACACGAACAAGCAAAAGCACACAAGCGATATTAAATGCACCTTTTTACGCCCAAAGGAGAAGCTGAGCTAGAGTGCATACTTCAATCACAATGGCCTGGTAGGGGTGTACTCAGGCCCAAGCTGGGAGCCAGAGAAAACACAATCAGACACACCAGGTGCCCAGAACCATCTCCCCGTCATAAATATGATTATTGGCCATTCACTGCTACATATCACTTACCTCTCCTGAGCCAACAAATCATCCTCACCCTCTCTCCCGGCTTATCACAGCCACGATAAACAAAGAAATGATGTAAATATCTCTCAATCTTTTCCTCTGTCTGTTTTTTCTGTTTGACTTGGAGCAGAGTTTTATAATTCTTTATAGCATAATATTCAAGCCACATGATGATGCTAAATCTCTCTAAGGTGCATATGTTTGTGTTCATGAGTGTGAGTTTTATGTATGTCAATCCCCAGTGTGTGTATTTCTGTATCAGAGATTTTAGCTGCAGGGTATAGGAGTGAGTTTTATGTATGTGAATCCCCAGTGTGTGTATTTCTGTACCAGAGATTTTAGCTGCAGGGTATAGGAGCTGTGTGGGAGGGTTGAGTTTTATGCCTGTGTGTTGTGTTCAGGCTTGTTAGGTTTGTTTGACGGGAGCGAGATTATAGAGGAAGGCCTGCTGGTTCAAGAACCCAGTCCAAAGTGTCATTCCTATATAGGCTGAAACACATCAGTCGAGAATCCCAGCCCTGCTGCTCTCCATAAACAATATCCCTTTTGTAATGTAGAAATGTGTGTGATCAGGCCACACACTTCACCATTCATCGCATTAGCTTTGTTAAGGTGACAGTTCGTGAGTTGTCTGTAGACAGTTTCCAAAAATGTCACAAATTGATAATGATAATCCAGTTTGTATTAATAAATAAACCATTTAAGATGTAATACAGGTAGGCAGATACTGTATGAAATGATCTGAAGTGCTACAAAAACAGAAATCCATTACTGTGAAAATACAGCCTAAAAGTTGAAGTGTTTCATCATCTTTGCACTGTAAAATGCTTCAGAGTCATTAAGCTGCACTTATTGTGAATTGTTAAAGTATTGTATAGTACTCAGTGACTTTCTCTGCATGCATATTACATTGCATACGCTACTGTATGTGTGCTTCTTCATGATCAGCTGAAGTTGCTGTAATGACTAATATGGGCAGAGCAACTAATACCGCCGAGACAACATCTGGTTGAAAGGAAGAATGAGAAAACATGTTAATAATCCTTGTTGGAAATAAGGTGCGGTGTCAAAAGCATGTAACCTTTTCAAGTGCTGATAACCACTGATAACACTGCAATGTGGGTATTGGCTTTACTGAGAACCTTTAGAAAACAAAAAGAAAATAGGAAGATGTTCATTTTACCTATATTGTGCAAACTGTGTCCTGATTAAATCAATCATAAAACTACACACTGCTGCCCTGATTTTCAGTCCTTGATTGTCATGTGCTAAAATGAACCCACCATGTATTTTAGTGATAAACTTAAATGGAGGCTGGTAAAACTGTATGGGAGTATTGTCAAGACACTTTGCCAGTTGAAATCACAGTTTGTAGTTGCGTGCACACTAAATTGTCATTTTAAAATTGGCTGACATGCTAATATTCTTTAACCACTGCTTTCACCTTTGTGTTGTGCTTTGTGCACAATGAAAAATGGGAAAGACCATAAAAATTCTGTAAACATGATGATAAGCGTAGAATCTGTGTTTCAGCATAGTGGTGCCGCACTGAGAACATTCTGCTAATATTATGTTTTGCATGTGCTTTGAATTGAGCCTGTATTCTTCTTTTTGACAGGCTACACTTTACAACACTGTGCATCAATGCCATTCTTTTCCCCTTGTGTTGGAGAAGGGCATGTTTTGTCTTATTCAAGGCCTGAGCATCTGACAGGATTACTGTGAGGCACTGAATGTCACATCACTTCTATTACAGAAGCCAGCACAATTTCCCTTGAACGACAAAGCAACAGTGCCGACAATAAATAAATAAATAAATAAGGAGATGCTGTAGATAGAGGGACAGACAGACAAAGATATATCAAGAAAGACGGATAGTGCCCCTGGAATACGAGTTGCAGAAGATTATTCCAGAGACATTATTTCCCTCAAGTCATGGGCTTAAGTCAAATTTGGAAGAGAAATGAAATTGCCAGCAGTGAAAAACCAGACTAGGTAGGAGTTCATGAGTAGAGAAATAACATTTTCATTTGTTTCTGCCCCAGTGGGAGACGAGCAGCCTTTCAGTAAATAGAGACAGCTATGAGAAATGATTTTTTGGTCTGCGGGATATTATTTTAACGTGCACTTATCCATCTGCAATCTAGATGTCAAGCCCCAGGAATCCACATGATGGCCATTCTACTGTTGTCTCCATGACACACAAATGTTGGCCTTGTTTCGCCTTCAGTTGTCTGTTACTGTCCCATTTACACCAGATTTTCAGTTCTCTGTTTTTTTTTTTTAACTGTCTATGTTAAGAACAACCAGCTGATGCTACTCTTTAAAATTCACGCCAAGAAAAAGCTTGGCTGTGAATTGAAATGAAAAAATCAATTCTGTCTTTTGAGATTGTCACCTCCCTTTGTGTAACCTGGAGACTGTGACAACAGGCACATCATGCAGTATTATTACTTCCACTTCAATAATAACAAATCAAGTACACCATGGATTTTAGCAGAGATTGGCACAAGGTATCAGTTGAAGTATATCTTTTGACAGTATTGTTCCACTGTGTTTTGTGTTGTTCTTGTTCGTTATGGAGCCGGGTTTGGCCAAAGGTAATGATGTCACAATCCACTCTTCTTTGTTTATGGTGCCAAGTTTCTTAACTTGTCACATGCATGTGAGCATTTGATATCTTTGTCTTTCTTATAACCCTGTACATGCACTTGGATACCTGGTCATGCTGTGTCATCTGGGTTAAGTGTTATCTGATTTCAAAGTGACATTCAGGCCATTATTGGGGTATTACTTCTACTTCTGCAAAGTGCAGCTGTTGACTTCCGTGATAATGTCTGATTAATGAATGTGTTTCTATAAATGTTGGCTATCTCTTGAAGTTATTTATGTGGTGCGTTATAAGTCATGGTTAATCTGCTACAAAACTGATGACAGCAGTGATGTATTCCTCGTGATTATGTCTACTTTCTGTCATCCACTGTCAGCCAGCACATAAACTACAGTAAAGTGTCACATGGCCCATTGTGATTATAGTTGATATTGACACTGGAATTGAAGAAATAGACGCAATAAGAAGATTAGTGTTTCCCAAGAGGCGTGCGCCCCCTCTGCTGTATTCCTTCCTGATGAGGTGCACTGAGCCCTGTGAGAGAGACGTGTTCGATACAGTCAAATCCCCTTTCTGACAACATAATGTGTAAATAGAAAAGATGAAGACTAATTTGGTGACCATCTTAAATGGGACAGGAGGAGGCTCAGTGAAGCAGGGATGAAATAGCACTTGGGGTTTTTGCTGACAAATTCTTTGTGCTATTGCAGATTCACCCCACTTTGCATTGTGCATGCGTATCAATTGACCCTGCTGTCAGACCTGTGCCCTCAAGAGCAAAATTTCCACCCTAATAAGGTGATATCTCACATAAAAAAGGTTTGTCTCCATAATGTCTTCCATCTGCCATGAATAGTGCTCATTAAAAAATAAATGGCAAAATAATTTCTCAGTTTGGAGACATGACGTTTTTGTAATATTTGTGAGAATGAGTAAGCTTATAGTGCTGAAGAGTCATTGTATAATATCCATTACCTGAGTTTTGGGCATACTACTGTGGTTTAACAATACATTTTTCACTCAGAAACTCAACCTACAGCAGTCTTGCATGCAGTCTTTTTTTCGTGCATGCACGTCTACCTTTGTCTTCAAAAGTACATCTCTGTATGCCAGCAGCACAGGGCATGCATGTAAATTCTCCCATAAACTAATTAGACTGGCTCTGACCTGTTAAAAGGGAGTCATATCAGCTGTGTTTGGGTCATGGTGAGAGGTCAGAGGGTAGCCCAGGGCCACACAGTACAGGGGATTGGATAGGATTAGCTTTGGTCTGCCCCTTTGGCCCCAGGCCCAGATGGCCCAGGAAGAGTGGAATTAGCCAAGCCAGGCAGGGCCATCTGATTCCAAGCCCTCATCCAATTACTGCCTTATCTCCTGGCCAAATGAGATCAATGCATGGAAAGCAGGGAGACCTGGCAGGCTGGCGAAGGTGTGATAATCAGCAGTAGGGAGCACGGCACTTAACTCCCGTGTGTCCCTGAAAGAGCCAAAGCACGTGTTAGGAACACCACTCACTGCCATTAGCTCTCTGTGCCAGTTGGAGCCTGACCTGCAGTTTGTATGAGGACAACCTGGTAGTGCATTTAGGCATCTTAGCATTTTGTGTTCAAGTGCTGCACTTAGGAAGGTGAATAATGTGCATAATTACAGTTTTACCTCTTATTCTTGGTGAATCTACACAGCAGATTACACTGGCTAAAAGGTAGTAGAGAGGACAAAAAACTGTGTAATTGCTTTTTTGTATAACAAATGAAAGGCACTTTTAAACATTAACAGTGGTTAAGAACAACTCTGCACAGCTAATATAGTCAACTATTAATTCTCTTGTCAATTAGGGAGAAAAACTCATGTTTGACGTTTGGAGGTGTAATTATGAAAATCATTAACCTCTGTGTGTGCCATAAAAGCACACAGTTGTGCTCTCTACCTGCACTTCTTGAAATGGAGTTGCATTTACCAGAATGAGATTCAGATGTTAAAAAGACCTCCATTAAATGGATTTTTTTTTTCTTAATGTAAAATTATGTTTTATCTTGTTCTCATTCATGTTCCTTTATTTAATTACACTTTCTTGACTGTAACATCTTTAATAAAACACTTTAATCTATGAATACTTCTAGACTATGGCTATTTCTAGACATAAACCACAAAAATTAAAAAGTCTAACTTTATTCTCTTTTCATAGTAATAAGAAATTGATGACAGACACTACCACTTACCTAACAATAACAATATGGAAAGAATGGATTCATTTTAAAATGTGCCTTCAAAATGGATGTTTGATGGAAAAGGCCTTTGCTGGCTGAGTCTTATATGATATAACGTTATTCATATTTATTCCTGATATTTCTGCCATGCCAATGATTGTATTGCACCACTGGTGTGTCCCTTCGCCATCTGGAGGACTGTTCTGTGCCCACAATATAGCTGGAGAGGGACCCATTCTGCTGAATTTATGGTTGGCTATTTCTTCTCAGGCTCATGTTCTGGGCATGACTATCCATTGGAGAGCAATAGGTAGTCTGTCCTCAGCTGTGGCCCTGTGATTCTACATCCAATACTGCCCCCTCCTTCCACCTGTCCCTGGCCGCTGCTCCTCTCAGCCCAGTTACATTAAAGTCCTCTTAAATTCACCACAGCAGGCTGTCTGCATGGGGAGGGCTGGCATGACAGGGGCCCTCTGACAATCAGCTCTCAGCTAGAAAGCACTAATGAGCGTTGGGAAGGGAGGAGAGGGTGTCGGCGGATTGCACACAGACAGCAGCAGTAGTGGGTAGGATTGGAGGGGGTTGTTAGGAAGAGAGGTGGTGGGCTGCCATGTTGCTGGGCTGGGTCCGGCACAGCACTGACTAGATTAGCTTCTTGGGGGCAGAGCTGCAGTCAGTTTGGGAAAATATCACAGCCCATTAGTTAGGAGCAATGAAATGGAGTCAACTTCTGGGACTCCATTAGGCACGCTGCGCTTAGGCAGACAGCGTCCCTTGGTGTGATGTTGCTATTCTGGAAGGATTGAGCGCAGAAATATAATTGGACTGGGGAAATCAAGAAAGTTTCAGTGGTCCTGGTGGGGCTCTCAGACAGAAAATGAGAACACATGCCTTTGTGTTTCTCTCCCTCTCCCTGTTAGCTTTACAGCTTTTTGAAAAACAGGAGTAAAAAGGCAGGCAGTGTGATTGAGTTTTCCTTTTCATTTTCATGCATCTACACACTTTGTCCTCTATTCTGTAGTTCTGTTTCTCTGTCTGCTCCCCTAGCTTTTCTTATTGGATTTTACCATCTGCTTTAAATTATTTTTTTTGTTTGTTTTGTTTAGTTTTTTGTCTTTCATGGCTCTAGTTCTGGCTACCTCTAAGCTAAACAATATGCATTTATTCATCCATGCCTTTCACTAAGCATTGATGAGACTCAGGATTGTGCTTGATAATAAACATGGCTTACTCTAACACAGGCTGCTTGCTAAGCCTCACAAGGCTGTTTACTGCAGATCACTGCCAGCTTTACAAATACTTCCATGAATCTATGAAAGCAGTGCCCAAGGAAAGTATACCTTATCCCCCCCTTTGAAATGCTCTTTCTTGAGCAATGATGCCTGGATACCTGGCTAACATTTTGGTTCCTTATAGGCAGAACTCAAATGTAGATAGGACAGACAGGCTTCAGTGCTTCAGGTAATTGATGTGCAGCTTTTAGCACCATCCTGGGACATTTCCATTCCAATTTCTAGAAGGCATGCATCACTTGGTTTGCCCAAAATGCTTGATGTACTTTGTCCTAAATAAAGGACATTTTGCTAGCTCTCCAAGTTAATTTACTTCACAGCAGCAGACCATAATATTCTTGTCATACCTTCAGTTTAGAGTCAAGAGTATAATTAGACTGAGTCTGTGATGGTGTATTGCTAGTGTCTTTATTGCTGAATTATCAAGCACATGTTTGCTGCTGTCCATTCAGTGAGTCAGTAACTTGTTAGATAGTGTAATATTGCTGTAAGTTAAAGAAACCCTGTGTTACACCAGTGCAGAATATCACTGTTAGGTAAGCCATGTATCATGCTTTTTCTTACCATAGCTTTTTCAAGGGATTGGTGAGAGGTCAAAGTGTTTGTCATATGCACAGTTAGGAAACATGTTTCCCTGTACAATGAAATTCTTACTTTGCCGTCTACATGAATGCCACAAAATACAGGTGAAATATAAAGTAGATGAGCAATAACACAAATCTAAATAGGCAGTAAAATCACATATCTAAGGCACTTTAAAGCAGCAAGAGAGGGAGCAAATAAAACTACAACAAGAACACAATATGATGCAGAGAGAATATATGCTACGTGGGAGCCGTGGAGTGTAAATACTCAGCAGTGAGTGTGCAATTATGCATGTACAAAATGTTGAGAAATGGTTTTTCAGTCTAGAGGTCCTGCATTTCACACTTCTGAGCCTCCGACCGGAGGGTAGGGGTATAAACAGTCTGTGCTGGGGGTGGGTGGGGTCCTTGAGAATGGAGGCAGCTTTCCTACTGTTGTACCCGGTAATTTTTACCATACTGACTCAGAGACGAGCAGAGTCTTCTTGAGTGTGTGTTGCATATGTATGTCTTGCACTTGATGCATGTATATTGTGTTTTTCTGTCCTTCACACTCCACAGCGCTTCTGTTGCCTGGTGCTGGCTGCAACCTAGAATAATGAAAAGAAAAGAAATTATACTTAGCACCTAGTTTCTCTCTCTCCCAAAGCAGGAGTGTCTCACATTTAGTATACTGCAACAGCATCACACACTTATCTCAGGCGCTACAGATGGTTGTTGCACAGAAGGTGTAGCCGGATGATAATCAATGTCAGCCTCTTCTTCAAAGTCACTATAGGTTGTGAAAT